CTGGGCCACAAGTCCAAGCTCGTTCCTGGCAGCTGTTTCTCATCTTGACCCTGCGCCCTTACAAGGCGATGAAATGCAAACATCTTGTAAATACAAATCAGGTTTGATTTAGTAATATTCGTTAAAGACCTAAATCAAGAGAGAATCTCCTACTTAACAAAGTAATTAATTAGCTCTAGGGATTGACGTTGAAAACAGAAGACTAACTGATTAGTATGATTACTGAGTTCATTTTTCTTTGTGTAGTGAGAAGTGGCCAGTATCTGGTCCAGGCCAGGCTGGACGCTCAGGGCTGGACTAGAACATTCCTCCTGGAGTCAGGGTTTCGTCTTCCCTGTGTAGCTCGTCCCATTCCCATCTCTGTGCTTTGATTCCTCCTCTGTCCACCTGGGATACTGGAGAGGATTAAAAGTTTCACAACAAAAATGTCCCCTCGCTCTGCATTGTTGTTAATTGCCGTCAATGGGCTCTGACTCACGGTGACCTTAGGTGGGTGACCTTATATATGACGATCTTCTGTGTGATCCATAGAGTTTTCAGTGGCTGATTTTCAGAAGTAGATCACCAGTCTGTCATCATCTGGAAGCTCCACTGAAACCTGTCCACCATGGGTGACCCTGCTGGTATTTGAAATACTGGTGGCTTAGCTTCCAGCATCACAGCAACACACAAGCCACCACAGTACGGCACACTGACAGACAGGTGGTGGCACCCTGCATTAGCTGCGTGAAATCTGACCTCACGGAGCTGGTAAGACAACATCATCAGCTCTGAGGAGGTGGGATGACATAGGGAAGGACTCCTTCCTCGTAAACTGTTATATACAGCATCACACAAATGTGAGTTCTGGCCCCATTATGATTACTGGCGTTGTTGTATGCATTCATGTTAGGTCTCCAAGGCAAAAGTCAACAAGCTTTTGAAGGGCTTGGCCCTGTGCCAGACAACTTCCTGGAGGTGCCTACTCACGCTGCAGGTGGTAGAGGAGGAAAGACCCACAGGAAACAATTAGAGACTTAAACTGCAATGGGTACAGACCTGGGGACAGCCCCGCCCCGGGAGCCCTCACGATGCCCCGTGACAGACGCAGCCACCAGGGGCTTCCCCTGCCTTCACTGTCCTCTCTGTGGTCTTACGAGAAGCAGAAGATGCCAGGGCCGCCGCTCAGAGAAGAGGCTGGGGGAATTCGGCTACGCGTTCAGAGGCACTGTGGCTGGCTTATTTTTCCCAGATAGCCTGGCTTTCTCTGTGAGGAGAGAGAGAAAGAGCGCTGAGAGAACATGAATGGGAATGAGATGGCATCCCTTTCAAGGTCAGCAGCTTGCACGCCTGCCTCACTAGCTGCTAGCCCACCCACACGCACCTGCAGCCTGTTCCAAACCCGTCCTCTTTCTGTCTTCCACGTCTCCGTTCCATTTGCTCACTCGTCACCTGGGCACACGTCCCAGAGCAGATGGGGGACGCTGTGTTGTTGAGTGCCGTTGGGTTTTTCCGACTCATGGTGACCCCGTGTGACAGAGCAGAACTACCCCATAGGGCTTCCTAGGCTGTAATCTTTACAGAAGCAGATTGCCAGATCTTTCTCCCAAGGAGCTGCTGGGTGGGTTTGAACTGCCAACCTTTCAGTTAGCAGCTGAGTGCTTAATTGCTACACTACCAGGGCTCCTTGGGGTACCCTATAGCTTTCAAATATGGTTTAGTGGCTGTCTTTTGTTTTCCTCGCTCTGTCTTGTAAAAAATATTCTAACCACTGCTGTTCTGGTCGCTGCCGTTCTAACCACTGGGGACTTAACCGTTGCGTGCAGATTTATTGCTATTAAAATATTTGTTTCAGTTGTTGCACGTGGCCGATTTTCCCTCATAGGCTTTGTTCCAACTTGCATTGTTTTTTGCGAGGAGGATACTGAATAGAATATTAAATCATACCATGACTGAGACTAGTAAAAGCGTGAATTCTTTATGAATAGAATAGGAGTTCAAGTTGAGGTAGTTGTATAGAAGGCAACCCACAATGGCTAGATCATTTGTGATTCTGCTTCCATGATCTTGGTGAGTCACCATAATTAGGAAAGATGTTACTTTTTGTTATTTTTTTTTTCCATTCCATCAACTGTATTTAACAAATAAATATGTGCCAGATTATCAACTTGTCTTTTTGCAAGACAGACCTTACTCCGTAAAAATATACCTTGACATTATATGCACATCTTCAACCTCAACAATAAAAAACATACACATTATGGTCCTATACCTGTAGTATCCAGAACATCACTGTATAAACCGTTGTCAAATTACCATTAAACATTAATACCCAACAACAGGATTTATAAAGATTATTTTAAAAGTGTTAACTCTACCGCACTCAAACTATGAATGACACCTGGGGCCTATGAAGAGGGCTCGCTCAGGTCCGATGACGGCCCGCTGCGCTCACCACCACTTCCTCCCTAATGGGCCGCCTGCTGGTCCTGCACTTGCCTGGCCCTGCCTGGTCTGATTTCACAGCAAGAACATGGACTCGAACTTAGTTTCCCTGTTGACGTGGCCACTTCCACCCTACAACACAGCAGAATCAGCCTGACGACAAACACTGTCGCCATGACTGGGATATGGCCTGTTACATGAGCTCTCAAGGAAAATGGTCTTTCTAGCTATGTGTCAGGCAAAATACTAAACACTGAACTAACAGACCCCGTCTAGTTTACTACAGAGAAAACTGTATCTGGCTGGGAAACCTGAATTCTACCCTATTCCTACTGATGTCTTTTCCCTTTTCTTTCTAATGCAACAAGTGGCCAAGCGGGAAAGGAAGGACGTTGCGCGTGGGTGGCTCTTAAGGACCCAGCTGGGGCCTCTCCAGAGGTGAGCCCCGTATCCCAAAGCAATGCACTTGTACAGAGCACATTCAAACAGCAGAGCCCCTGACTGATTCCTGATAAAACATAAGAAAAATACTTTCCATAAATGCACCAAAAAGTTTTCTGAAGAATCAGGCTAGACTTTTGAGCAGAAGCTGAGTGGGAGTCCTAGCCACGCCAACAGAACCATCTAATTGAGTCTTTGGGGGCTCTCGCAGCCAGCGTTCTCACTGCAAGTCCTGGAGGTTGATGGTGCTTCTGGAGAACGGTGCGGCCTCAGGACAAGCGGCATCCTCTGGGGCTGGGAACACCTCCTGGAGGACATAGACAGGCAAGTCCACGGTGAGGATGGGACGGAGCAGGGGAGGCTGCAAGCTGAGTGCAAGTGGCAAGGCTCCTTCACCTGAGGGATCGTCCTGCAGTAGCTGGACCTGAATGCACCGCACCGCGGCCGCTGGCTCTGGTCCTGTCAGGCCTCCGCTTGGCACCACAACATCTCCACACGGCCAACTGCCCTGGCTTGTGTGGAAGTGAGGACTGATTTTCTCACCTTTTATTTTTCTTTGAGCAGGGCCTGAGGAACCTGCGTTGTTCCCAATTCCTTTCTGCTTTTTTTCTTGGCTAGTTGAACGGCTCGGTAATCAGTTCTTGCTGAGCCCCCACTTTCCTGAAACTCCTTCACCACACACCATTTGTACTCAGAGAAGCAAGGCTGCCCAAGGTCACACAGCAAATACAAGTTTCCAGGCACTGCACTGAGGTCTGTGTCTTTCTGAGCACTGCAGTTTTCTGCTGAGTTGGAGAGCCCAAACTGGATTACCACTTTGCCTCTTTCCTGTGGCCCAACATCTGGGCCAGGAGGCAAGTTCCGTTCCACTTTGATTGGAGCCAGCAGTTCTGGGACATGGCTGTTTCCACTGAGGCTGTTTGAAGGGGTTGGTGTGGATCTGTTCAATGCTGAATTGTTGCTGGAGGTCAAAGCCTGTGGGTCTTAACTCAAGTTCTTCACAGGAAGAGACACCAGACAACCCAATGCTTCTGCACTTAACAGTTTGCACATCATCTGGATTTAAGTTGCTCTGCTGAAGAACCGGGGCCATTGACCCAAGCATGAGAGGGCTGTCCAGACTGGAAGGAATGTCACTGTTGGCCACCAGGACCAGTGGGTCCATCTGGCCCAAGGGATTGTTGTTAACAGGAAGGTTCCCTCCCAGAGATGAGCTCACAGAATTAACATCAATAGTCAAGATTCCAGAGTTCACCAATGCCATGTCCGATGCAACTGTCGAACTATTATTATCACCAGATGCATTAGAGAAGAGAGACACAAGGTCTACATTATTGAGCTCGCTTTGTCCTGAGCTGGTAAGTTCACTGCTGGGCGTAAGAGAACTTGCAGCTTCTAGTTGAGATGAGAGATCTTGGCACAGGTTGTGCTGTTTGACCACGTGAGTCTTCATGCTGTGTTCGGGTGTGAACTGTCAATCACAGCTGGAGACCGGGCAGCGGCTTTTTGAAGCGTCCACATCCTGGAGGTGCTTCTTAGAGTGAATGTACAGACTACTGCGAGCGGAGAATCGAGCACAGCACCCTTCCACAGGACACTCAAATGGCTTTGTGCCTAGGTGGGTTATGCTCTGGCCTGTCAAATGTTCTGCTCTCGTGAATGATTTCCCACAGCCTTCCACAGGGCAGGTAAACCTCTGGTCATCATAATGTTTCCTTTCGTGCCTTAGGAGTTTAGACATGCTGGTGAAGGTCCAGCCACCACTATCAGAGTCACAAACAGAAGGTCTTTCACCTGTGTGACTTCTCAGGTGAATTTTCAGCCAGCAGGCTTTGTCATACTGTTTGCTGCATCCCGGAAAGGAGCAAGAAAAGAGTTCTTGTTCCCTGAAATGGGCTCGATTACGGGAAAATAGAGCACTCACTGTGATAAATGTCTTCTCGCAGCCTTTTGAAACTGAAGCAGCTCGGCTTCTTGTGTCCCTTGTCTCTTCAGCTTCTGTTTCCTATGGCCTCTCGGCCCTCAGGCCTGACACCCGCATCTGCCCTGCTGGGGCAAGTGTTCCAAAGCTCAGTAGCTCCACCAGTAAGTGCCCGGAGGCACCCCACTCCATCAGGAAGCCTTCTGCGCACAGGCACTCAGCTCCCTGGCTCCATGGGTCAGCAAGCCTAGATCCACCGATAAGTGCGCAAAGGCACCCCACTCTGCCAGGAAGCCTTCTGCGCACAGGCACTCAGCTCTCTCTCTCCATGGGTCGGCAAGCCTAGCTCCACCGATAAGTGCCCAGAGGCACCCCACTCTACCAGGAAGCCTCCTGCACACAGGCTTTCAGCTCTCTCGCTCCGTGGGTCGGCTCCAGCGCAGTCTATCACCGGTCTCCTGGTTCTGCTGCTGTTGGTTCTCTGCTGCTGCTGGTCCTCTGTCACTGCCACACGTCTATCCATTCGGTTTTAAAACTGCTTCCACATTTTAGGTATCTGTTAGAGCAGCACCCCACTCTCTCAGTACAAAATTGTTGGTGCTGCTACAACAGAAATACAAGTGGGTGGTTTTAATGAAGAGGAGTTTATTTCCTCACAGTCAAAGTAGGCTAAAAGTCCAAATTCAGGGTGTCAGCTCAGGGGAAGTCTTTCTCTCTCTGTTGGGCTTCTCATCAATGTTCCCCTGGAATAGGAGCTTCTTTGCGCAGGGACCCCGGTCCAAAGGACGCGCTCTGCTCCTGGCACTGCTTTCTTGATGGTATGAGGTCCCCCACTTTTTGTTATTTTTTGCAGTTTTCATGTTCCGGAGTCAGGACTGGAGCCGACCTTTTGACAGTGGTTAATGGTTAGTTGCTATGTTTAGGACCTCCCAGGTTCTTGTAAACCTTACTGGTCTTCCATGTCAGAGATGAATTACAACTTTATGTCGACTTAAATAAATGGAACGTTTGATTTTCAAATCACTAGTTTTAAGGAGCCCTGGTGGCACAATGGCTAAGTGCTCTCAGCCGCTAACCGATAGGTCTGTGGTTCAAGCCCGCCAGCAGCTCCATGGAAGAAAAAACCTGGTGGTCTGCTCCCATAAAGATTACAGCCTAGGAAACCCAATGGGCAGTTCTGCTCTGTCCTGTAGGGTTGCTATGTGTCGGGATTGACTGGATGACATCTAGCAAATCAGTAGTTAATTATATTCATATTCCAGTGTTATAAGGTAGAATGTAGGCTCCACGGGGGAGGGATGTTTGATGGGGATGAGGGGCATTTCTTTGTTCACTATATTAGCTATAGCATATAAAACAGTGCACAGTGTAGCTAGTAGATAAATATTGAAGGAATGAATGAGCTGTAGCCATAACCTATAAGAAATTAATAAAAATCTTTTGATAAAAATCCAGAACAATATATTATGTTAAAATCCACACATGCCTTTTTAAGCCAGAGCAATAAATAGCACACAAATGGGAGTGATTAAAAATCCTTTGCGTTGCCCATCTGCACTCTGGCAAATCAGCGTCTAGATTTTGGTAGTGCCCGTTTCCTGATAACTGCATTGACGTCGCTTTGTTAAAACCTGACTCTCAACCCAAAGTACCGTCAGGACGTGGAGTCTATTTTTTGGCACACCGAAAAAAAAAACAAAACCCATTGCCGTCAAGTTGATTCTGACTCATAGCAGTCGAAATCAACTGGACAGCAGCGGATTTTTGGGGGGCACACAGATCATATAAATAGCTCTTAATTGGCGTTAATGTTCTGATCTCCATTCAGTGGTGTTTATAGAGACTGGCATAAAGATGGGGCAGAGCAATTGCAGTATTAGAGAAAATATCACGTTAACTGTTCCTTTTCACTAAGTCGATGAAACAGACTTCACCAGTGTTGTTTTCTGTAGGCCTGTATTTGGTATGAAGCCCTGGTGGCACAGTGGTTAAGAGCTCAGCTGCTAACCAAATGGTCGGCAGTTCGAATCCACCAGCCACTCCTTGGAAACCCTATGGCGTAGGTCTTCCCTGTCCTGTAGGGTCACTGTGTGTCAGGATCAACTCCACAGCAACGAGTTTGGGTTTTTTGTTCGTTTGGGCATAATTACTATTTCTTCTAGTTCTCATTTTTACCTTTATAATCTCCTGTTGTTCCTTGACATGCCAATTTCTATTCCCCAAATTCCAGGTGTACCACTTTGATTTCATCTGTCATAAAAAATATCTTCCTGTCCTTTGTCCTTTCTGTAGCAAACTCTTTCGGTTCATTGTTTCCATTTGTGGGTTGTAAAAGTGTTCTTTTTAAGTTCTAATCAGAAGGAGAAAACATTTAAACGTGGCCGAAAACATCTGTTTTTGATCCTGAGAGTGCAGATCTGACATGCAGACCCTCTCTCTTTGCTGCAGCCCCGAACAGGAATTGTCAATAATGACATATTTCTTTTACCACATGGCAAGCCGGACAGGGACATCCAGAATCTTAATTTGGAGCTCAGAGCTGGGAGCACCCTCGGAACTCCGTGTCCCTCCACCGGCCTAGTGGTGAAAGGCGTCTGCCTGGGGGAGGAGCAACCTTCTCTGTGACTACTGAGCCTTCCTTCTCGGGCCAGCCCCTCAAAGCGGTCCTGAGAGTTGAAAATTTTTAGCTTTTACTGTATCACTTCTCACTTGCCAAATGTCTGAAAGCCATTTGAGAGTGATTTAAACCAAATCTTTCAGTAGATCTGGTGGAAAATAAGTTTGACCTGTTTATTTGTGAGCCCTGGTGGCACAGTGGTTAAGCACTCAGCTGTTAACCGAAAAGTGGGTGGTTCGAACCCACCAGCTGCTCCACGGGAGAAAGATGTGGCCGTCTGCTTCCATAAAGATGACAGCCTTGGAAACCCTATGGGGCAGTTCTACCCTGTCCTATAGGGTCACTGTGAGTCAGAATCGACTAGGAGGCAATGTGTTTAGTTTTTTTGTTGTTGTTGGTTCTGTTCATTGTGCCACATTTTGCTGTGTCTTTGTATCTTGGTAAATAAAAGGCTGAAGTGATGGGCAGCACAAGGAGTAAATAAAGCGTAATTATTCCACTTGAAGCCCAGCCCTGGGTGGCCCTGTGCCTGGCCTCGTGGTGACTTCACTGCCATATGACTGGCATCAATAGCTGTTTATATTGAATCCATTTTCCCTCAGAGTGATGCTAATACATTTATGGTATTCAGTCTTTTTTCCATTGTAATTGATGTAGCTTAGCATTGTTGAAGTTTTTTGTGAGATATAATCTATTTGATTATTCTAGGCCTTAGTACTTTTCACTTCATTAGTTGAATTTTTGTGACTGTGACTGTATTTATTGTTTCGAATGAAACAATTTGGTGAGACCCTGGAATTTTCCACTGCGATTATGTGGTCTCACGTTCCTCTCTCTGTTTGCCAGATTTCATCCCTTGAAGTATCACACTCAGAAGATAATTTTTGGAGAACCTGTTACAATCTGGTTTTCCCATTCACAAATGAGTCTTAAAAGGCTGCATTTAATGAGACAACTTTCAAGAACTTCTTGCCCCCTGTTAACAAAAGAAACATGTGCTTGTTGATGTTACTTAGGTCTTCAGTTATGTGAGGAGGCCCTGGGTGGTGCAAATGGTTAACACACTCAGCTGCTAGCTGAAAGGTCAGAGGTTCAAGTCCACCCAGAGGTGCCTCAAAAGAAAGGCCTGGCGATCTATGTATGCAAAATCAGCCATTGAAAACCCTGTGGAGCACAGTTCTACTCTGACCCACACCGGTCGCCATGAGTTGGAGTTGACTCAGTGGCAGCTAGTACTGGTCAGTTACGTGCAATCACAGTGTAGCGACCCCCGACTTAGGTTTTCTCTCCCCTGCCAGATCACCAGCTCCTCAGAGTCAGCACCCCCCACCTCTGTTCATCCTTCGACCTCTGAAACGCCCCGCGGTAACGCGGTAACGGCCTCAGGGATAGAAAGCGCTCTTGCAGGTGGGGTGGGGGGGTGGGTGGGGGGGCTCTGTGATTCTTCAGGAAAGGTCACTGCCTACCCAGAATGATGAGCCCTCCGTTTTCTGGAATGTAGTTGTTAGCTAGAGGGCTTAACTCAGAGGAAGAGATTTTAAGGCCCTTGTAGGGTTCGTTGTTTCTGATAAGATGATTGATTGGCCACCTGTAAGTTCCCTCCATCTGTGAGGAGGCACCCACCAGTGCAAGCCTGCCATTTGAACCCTGCCATGGTTATTTATTTTCAGAATATCCTGACATTTGAAGGGCATATACGCAAAAACCAATCATGTAAACCATTAAATTTAGAGGAATGAAAGAGCAGACATCAGCCCTTTGGGACTTGATCATTTCTGACAACACGTGGATTCAAAGCTGGGTTTTGTCTCAGCTAGATACAACAGTATCAACAGTGAGTGTCCAACTTAATGGGCAACCCTAAAGTTAACCAGACAGTTCCAGAAATTTGGATAGTATTTGTAACTTTTAATCACAAAATTAATAACATAGAACTCCTAGCAGAATTGACTTCATTTGTCCATTTCTTTGAGTCTGTCTTCAAGTATTTATCACTGCTTCAAGTGTGAGATGTCTCACCAAGCAGCTGGTTAAGTAAAAGGTAAACTGTGTCTGTTTCCCATAATTTAACGTTAACTGGACTTACCCTGCTTAGTATTAAGGTCATCTGACAATTGTTGCATTAGACATTGGTGATTTTAATTGATGTGTGTCGTATGCAAACGAATGTTGTTTTCACTCATACCTAAAAGATAAGCCGAAGTAAAATAGAACCTATTCGCTACTTCCTGTGTCCGAAGCCACACTGTTCTAACTCGTAAAGGAAATTAACCAATACTTTTTATACATTAGAAAAACATACAGCCTTCTTTCTGGGAATATGGTAATTTTTTCTTTTCTTCTTCAACAGCTTTATTGGGGTGTAATTTACATACCATAAAATTCTCTCGTAAGCGTACAGTTCACTGAGTTTTATTG